TCTTCATTTTGAGTGCGTCCATAAACTGCATGATAGCTGTGTCAATATGACTGATAACAACAGTTAGTAGTTATATAAGTTGGGGGGGGGGTATAAGGTAGAGGGAGAGAATATTATACATTTTTCTAAATTTGAGCACAATTACATAGTGAAGATGTAAACTAAGTAAACGATGAGTGGTTTGATGTGAAATGCTCTGTTCTAGAGTAACCTACTGAGTCAGAATTCTTCACAGTGGTGGTGACATGAGTCAGACATCTGAAGAGATTAATGCCTCTAAAGCAGCCTCATAGGAAGTTATTAAATGAAATGATTACAAATAAGTTGTCTGATGTCTGAGAAATAGTTTTATGATAGTTTTGAAAGGTTTTGGCCTAAAACGTACTTTTTTAATCAATTCAAGGTGGAGAGGTACGTACAAATGTAGGTTCACTGGTTGTTTTGGACAGCAAATAAAATGGCTATATTCGTATCGTAGACGTCACAACTCCTGGTTTCTTGCACCACCACTGTAAAGAAACCGGTGTTGGTGAGTTTCTCTACAATGAACCATTTCACATCAGACCAGTGTGGTTATCTCAGTCACTGAATTATGCAGAAATTTAGAAAAATCAGTGGAATTCCCCCTTTTAAAGCTGTTTTAGGTTCAAAGATCTGCCAATTTACCAAAATTTATGAAACCACATCAACCAGGTGGATCAGAAGCAGTTATTAAAGTAATCGACAAGTAAACAGATTACATTACATCTATTAAGATTACTTACACTGTTACACCGAAAGATTACTTAAATAATTATTTACTAATTAACATTTGTAATCAGAATCAGATACTATTTCTGAAGTTTTCTACCCGACACTGGTTATTAGGAAAAGAACTGATTCACTCTTCTCTTTGCAGGTAAACCTCTGAAAGCCCGATTTAATTGCCAATATGACATTAAGACACATTTAAACAATGCGACAATGGAGTAACTACTATCGGGAGTAAGATACAAGGAAGATTTTACGTCAGAGAATCAATAACTGCACAATGCATACAACAAACAAAATAGATTTAAAAATTCCTGTGACTTCAGGCAGCTGGACCAATAACCCCACACCACAATCAAGAACTTACACTGATTAAAGAGTGTAAATGGTACAAGTTCTCTCAGTAATAAACACCACAACTTTCTGACAAAACTTCCAGACCAGCTTCTTAACAAACAGTATAATATTCATAGACACAATGCGAGACACAGTTCATTGTTCAGAGAGGTACATTAAATGCAGAAGATGCAGATACTTTGCAGAAGTGTGAATTCCCCTCACCATCTTACAGCACAGACAAAAGCTGCATGCTTGAAGTTGCTGCTATCAATGATATGTTGTCAAGAACAGTTTTACGTGTTGTTGGTCAAGTTCTAGACTTTGTAAGCTATAAGCCAGTGGCTGAAAGCCATGTTAACTGGAATAATTTCACTGTATGTAATTTGCAAACTATTTAAAGTGTTTTATGCCAATTCTAACTGAAAAAATGATTTTTGAGCACATTAGTAACACATTGTCACCATGTGAACAAAAGCTTGTATCTCCATTTTTGTCACTTTTTACTTTTATGACCTAACCTGACATTGTCAGCTGCACTTTACATTGGGCTAAATTTTTAAGACAAATGGTCCAATAGAAGTCGTCCAAAATTATTTATCTTCAGCATTCTTGATAGCTAGTTTATGATACATCTGATTGTGTCCATCCATCTTGTCGTCCTCTTCCTCTTTTACCTTCAATCATTCCATGCAGGACTGTCTTTTCCAATTAATTGGTTCTTCTCATAATATATCTGAAATCAGAGCCTCAGTTTCGTTATCTGGGCTTCAAATATGAGGTGATGATTGATTCGGTCAAGAATGCTTTTGCTTGTTTTCTTTGCCGTCCCTGTTTTTTTTCCAGTAGCCTTCGTCAACAATTCAAGTTCAATGGCATCAACATCTGAATCAGACAATTCTGAAATTTGTTTGCAGAGATACGTTATTACATCTTAAGATCTTCTCACACTCCTTCATCCTCAGTCGAGCGCCAATCTGTGCCGTATTTCATGACTGCTGGATTCTTCGTTGTTAATAATTGATCCAAGTAAACAAAAGCTGTCCACCACTCGTACATCTTCCCCATCAGTGGTAAAGCTACCAGTCTTTCCTTTGTTTTCTTTATATTGAGCTGAAGACTCTTTCCATTCTGTCCTTTAACTTTCTATATGAGGGCGTTCAGATGTTCCTGATTTTGTCTAGAATTGCTTGAAATGAATAACATCTACAAAAAATTAAGAAGGTCCTTCTCCTGTAAAGTCACCATTTCGGAAAGTGACGTTGTGCTTCATTTAGGCCTCTTTTCTTTGTATAATGTGAACAGTTTAACTATTTTTATTATGCATTATTCTACTTTACATACAATAATGAATTATTTATACCACAAACAGACTATTTAGAGCTAAGAATACTGCACTTTTTATGTAACTACAGTCTCCAAGGAAGAGAACAAAAAATAATAACAATAAAAAATGGTGCAAAAACATTTTTTTGAAAAATAAATAAACAAATAGATTGATAAAGAAGCACTAGGGAAAATAAAAAATCAAATTTACACAATGTTATCAGCCAAGAAATGTTTGGTGTTTGCTTCTTTAGTTTTGGAGCTCTGGGGCTAATGTGGCTAACAAATAATCGAAGCTCGTCCACTAGCACTGTGAAAACCGCATGCCTAAATCTTCACACACTTCAGACCACGCAAAATTATTAAGTAATCTCAAATACACTTACTTATGTGATTTCTAACACTGTGTGACAAAGGTCAGGCTTCAAGACGGCTGCTGTGACTGGCTTTAGCTGTGCAACATCCTTTAGGCCATTTTTATAGATAACAGTACGTCATACACTGTCAAAAACCACATTAGCAAGTCTATTCGAGGCATCTTAAGAACGAGACATGGTTTGAGGCCAGGATGTGATGACTTAGGGCTGCAGTTTGCGCAATGTTAAACTGACTAGAACCTTCCATTCCTTGTAAATTTGAGCTTTTGCCAAACAAAGTCACAACGTCACACAGTGACTACATGCCAGTGATGGTTCTTCTTCCTCGAATTTATGACACAACAAACAGGGACTTTTCCTAATCATCAACCTCTAAAATCTATGCCAAACGTACAACGATTTTAGCACAAATGTCACTAGGAGTGCTTACAAAGCTTGCATCCTCTTGCAGACTTCTTTCGTGTTGATAAAGAGGTTAAATGCGGGTTCAGAACAATAGCGAGACACAGGAAGCGCCTCCAAACCACACACACCTTTACACTACCCCTGCATCACTCAGCAAAGACTGCCATACAAGTTGGAGTCCATGATAAACCAATCAGCAGCATGCTTTGCTACAGAGACTCTTTGTAACAAAAAGGCAAAGGAAATGGTCCATTATCTGCACTACAATGCACTCGCTTAAATAAGACACAATCACAACACACAATCCAAATAGTACATGTGTTAAATAGGGAACGTTTTCAGACGAAACCGATAACATCATAAACAGAAAATCATGTACACCATCACTTTTTAGACTGCAGGCCTATAAAGTGCGTTACTGTCCTATTTGCCAACATTGTCTTCATGCATAAACAAATGATGATATAACTTTAATGTAGAGTGTGACAGCACTATTTAGACTACAGCTGATGATCATACAAGTCTAAAACTAGGATAAAGCTTTGTCCCATGCGTGTTCTGGAGAGACAACAGAGTTGCGTGTTCACCATGCTCTAGTACAGAGGGCTCTATTCAAACCCCAGTCAGACTCAATTTACATTCTCTTCCATTTCAGTTCAGTACCTGAGCCAGGCAATCAAGCACTGGACAACAAATGATCTAGAGCAGGATAAAAATATGGACTGGCTGGGGATTCTCTGGGGACTGGAATGGAAACCCTCTGCTCTAAGACCCCTAAATCAATCTATGAAGAAAATGCCAATTAGCTGATTGGTTTTAAATGATAGGAAACACTAAAGTTTGTAGAGCTGTGAGCTGTTTTTATTAGGGACATTCGGTCTCGTCTTCACCTCCAAAACACCAGCAAGGACTGATGTTTTCATTTGGATGGCATGTTAAGTAATTTAGATGCTAATTCAACTTTAAAGTTTGTAGGACTGTGGCCCTGTGGCTCTTTAGGGCTCTGTGGCCCTAAAGGAGTGTTTTTATCAGGGACATTCAGTCTCATCTTCATCTCCAAAACACCAGCAAGGACTGATGTTTTCATTTGGATGGTATGTTAAGTAATTTAGATGCTAATTCAACTTTGTTAAGCAAACGGTTAAACTCCAGTGCTGGCAAGAACTGTCTTTACAGCTGAAATAAACACAGAACAGCACCAGGATAACTACAGTTTATGGCATTTATGAGATATATGCAAGTTTAGAATTTGAAAGTGTATACTGAGATCAAGTCAAATCTTCTGAACAGTAACTTCTTTTCCTAATATTAGCACAGACAGAGAGCTGCTGAGTACCAACTAGCATTTGTTTATGTGTAATTTTTGATGGATTTGTACTTTCTGAGCATTTCAGTCATAATAACTGTACTTGTACTTAACTGTATTTGTGAGGAAAGACATCTACTTTTCCTTATTCACATTCACAGCTGCTTTTGGGGTTAATTTCATTCTTGTGTTGATTCAGTATCTGGACTGTTTCTCTCACTTTCGAGCTTCAGCATTTCGTTTTAGACCAAAAGTAGCACAAAAATAAGAAGTTCCACTGCAGTTCTAAGGGAACTTAGTACATGGGTTTTTTTAAAACTCATACCTTTTTAAAGTCTTACTCAAATTGTTTTGCTAGCTATTCTCGCTTCTACGTGAACCATTATTTCAATGAAGCAGCAGCAGCTTTTCTTGAGGATAGTAAAATGAACAAGAAACGAAAAAACAACATAGACCCAAAAACAGAAAAGCTTTAACATAAATAACTGATGAAGTCTTACCATGGATATCAGAGCAGAGTTTTACTTTCACGCAACTTCCATGACATCCTGAATCGACATTAAATAATCTGGCGCTGTTTCCTGAAGGACGAGGCTCGTTTGCGATGGATAACCTACATCACACTGTTACGGCTTTGTCTCTTCCCACTCATATTCGAACAAGTCCCGCCCCGCACTCAGCCCCGCGTGACGATTGGCTGACAGCGGCCCGTCTCGAAACCCTAACCGCTCTCACAGGTTTGCGCTGAATGGAATGTCTAAATAAGAAACTAAACAAGAGCTTAAGCGCTTCAACAAGGAAAACTCTTCAAACTATATGGTCGTCTGCTTTGTTATGTTATTCTGGTCACTCTCATAGCAAACATTTGATATTCATCATTTGATTTTTTCAGCATTGGACTGTTGTATTCAGTTCTCAGGACAAGAGAGAACAATATGAAAGGAAGTATTCTGAACATCAAGCGTATAATGATATAAAGCATCTCACTAGGTTGCTCTGTCTCTGAACTTTCAGAATGTAATGTACCTCTAAGCCTGGTTTCAGATTTGTTTTAAATAAGAGTCAGTTTCATTTGTGTTCTACCAAACAGTGCGGTATAGAGGGCAGTACAGTTGTTTGTCTCCCTCTTGCGTCCGGACTGTGAACTGCACCAGTTTGCTGTATAATTCCACAGAGAATACACCAGGGCTCCCCAAAAGGCGGCCTGCAAGAGTTAAAACGTTGGGCCGCCGCCAAGACATAGGCACATATATACTAGAGCATCTATAGGTGACCATCCAAATAAAGTGTGACTGCAGTGTTGAGGGTGTATTAGTGCCAGGATGTGCACTCTGAAGTTCACAATATAAAAAATGATGCCCTGTTTTGGACAGACTGTGCTAACACTAGCGTGCTTGTCTGTTTTTAAGGACAGTTGGGTTCATTAGACTTTTTCTGATTCACTCAACTAGTGTTTTTTATTTCCTTAGTATGAAATATTGGGTTTAATTACACAATAACCATGTTACATCAACTAATACAGACTACACAGTGAGAACCGGTGAGTTCAAGAGAAATGGAGATCAAAATGCTTTTCATTCAGAGCCATAGTAAAAGTGTGGTGTCATTACTCCACTCAACATGAAGCGCCTCACAACGCAGAGGCAAACCCCAAACTTACACTAGCTAGAATTTTCTGAGGTTAATGCAACTACTTTATTGTGTAATTAAAACCAATATTTACTATTATGCAAGCAAAAAACACTAATTGAAGTCAGCAAATATTTTCCTTTAAGTATAATGAATTTAGTGATCTTTAAAAGCAGAATCTAGTAGCATTATCAAAGTGTAACGAAAGCATGGCTATATTTTTAAATCATGAATTTCAGATTTTGGACAAATGCAGCCAACACACTGCATGTTAGCTGATATTAAAATACAATACTACAAGTTGCAGAAGAATATATGATCTTATACTACATTACGATGGTGGATATTATAAACCAGCATTTGAATTTAAATTTTTGTAGCCCTTGTAATAAATGGGAGGTCTTAAAGCTGACTATCCTGGACCAACGAGAGCAGCCCGAGGAGAGCAAGTGGGTTCTCGCAAACACAAATACTAGGACCCAACTTGAGTTTTTAAAAATGTATCTGATTAGTTCATTTATTTATTGGTTATACAAACAAAGATGCCGAGTCGAATAATTAAAAATAAACCTGAATGATTTAATGGATTTTCCAATTTAAGAGACTAATTCTTATGATAACAACTGGTTTGAAAATTAATCTGTAAATAAAGATTTTTTTTTTTTTTTTGGGAACTTTTTCACAGTCTGTACTCTTGTCGAACAAAAAACAAGCAAATTATTCAAATATATATTACAGCCTATGAATGCGATTGTACTTCACTCCTCCTGCACATTAACAGCCAACTTACTTACAACTTACTTACCACACAACATTTTGTTGTTGGTTAACATTCATAAAGTTTACAATGAAGTCATTAAAGTATTGAGATTCAACAGTTAAAAGTAATAAAAAAACTTGTTCGTTTCTAATAAAAAAAAACATATGTAGACAAAACTTGAAAATAGAATAATTGCTGTGCAAATAGAGCTCCAATGGATCTACTGAAATGATTAACAATATTTATTAATCATGTATTTATATGTTTGGATGCGGTTTCCTGACAATGACCCAGATGAGCCACATACTCAGTTGGTAACGCCCTCTGGTGGATATTTTTGGTACTTCATGAAATCTGACCTAGAATATCAGACGCTCCAGAGGATTTTATGCGGTTATTTATTGTGTTTCCTGTCATTTTATGTTTGTTTGAATGTTTAATTAAAAAAACACCTTTTTCATCTTTAAATGCATAAAATGAAAAGTACAAAAATATTATTCAAACATTTTATAAATACTGCAATTCTAGAAAGTCATCGATATTTCTTTCCCCTTTTGTTTGAGTTTATTAATTGGGCTGTTGTCCATTTCCATAACTTTATCACATATCTTAATGTTTATCTGTGTTTTTAAGTACTCCACAGCTGTGAATTCTGTGATTCAAGTAATTAAATTATTTAAATAAAAATAATAATAAATAGACTACAACGCAGTCAATGGGTCAATGACGTCATGGGGGAGACGTTTCCATGGTGACGGACAGCGTCACGCGGGATAGTTTCAGAAATAAAAGAGTAGGCGGTTCGTCCACAGATATACACACCTAGTTGCCGCGTTGTCTGTTGTTCTCTGAGGCGATACGTCTGCGCGTCCGCCATGTTGGAGCGGTCAAGATCCGCTTGTGAACAAATTCACTTGTATTGAGAGATGAAGAGTCTCAGGATTAAATCGGCCACAACTTCCTTATTACTCAACCGATTTTCACCAAATCTGTTATAATCCTCAGACATAGATTAATCTAGGCTACTTTTATTTCATTAATAACTGATCGTGCTAATTAGCCGTCCGGACCAGCAGGAAAGTATTCAGTCTGCACCTGACGTTAAAAGCCGCGAGTTCCGGTAGAAAAACAATCTCACACACATCAGCAAATCCATTAATGTGTGAATCACTTCTAATCTTACTACACATAAATAATAAAATAAGCCCCCCAAACCATTTGCATGCTTAATGAGTTCTTTGCTTAGGGAAATGGTTCTTCAGATTGATGGAGAATGTGTTTAACTCTGCTAAAGCCTGATAAATCAGTTCGATGATCAGTTATTAATCTGTTGTTGAGCTCTGCTAAACTCTACGACCCAGGAGGATGAAGTGGTTTAGATGAAAAACAGATTCTAGATTTTTAAAATGTAATACATCCCTCTACTTTGGAAAATTAAAGAATTCCAGAAAATGCCTAGAACTATGTTTAATTTTTTGTTTTCATTTACTTTTCACCAGCAATCGCAAGTGTGACTGGGCTTTAATGGTGGTGTACATTAACTTTCCACCCAGGGTTTAATACTAATTTAACCAGCTCTACTAAAAACACAGACATGTAAAGCCTTTAAATCTTGTAACAAACATTCAAGTGCTATATTCTTCACCTTGTATGTAGCAGTTTTAGAGTGAATCCTTAAGTAAGGCTTAACCGAACATTATTAGAGTAGTCCAGCAATCTACCAAGCTGTTCAGCTTAGACCTTCTACATCTTATACAGACATTTTGTAACAGTACATTTAGTTTTACTACATTTACTTACTACAAACATATGTATATTTGTAAGATCTTGCTAGTGTGGTTTTCCTCTCTTTCAGTGATGCACACAAAATAGTCTTTCTCCTTCTAGAGAACGTGCCAAACAGCTTTATGATCTGTAGATACCCAATTACTGATTCATCAAGAATGTACATTTAAAACTTTGTTCAAGCGTTGATGACAGCCTAGTATGTAGTATTTAATACTATATGTGTTTACTTGCACCCTTGCAATTACATACACCTGACCCGTTTCACCACTCAGTGCCTTCAGTTCCTCAATCTTTCCATGACTGCTTTCCTTTTCTACTTTCAAATCTAATTTAAACTTTTTTTTCATGAGCAGTTCTCTTCCTCCTTTGCTGCCTGGTCTTAAGCTTCCTTTTTTGTGCGTTCTTTGTTATGTAAAGCAACCTTGGGATTGTAAAAGGCACTATAAAACATAACATTGTTATTACTCAAAAAAGTGCTGGCATCTTGCTAAAAATGAATTTCAACACCTCTTCTCTCTGTGATTGACAATATGATTTATATTCTGTAAATGAAAATAAAGAAGAGGCAACAAAACAAGAAAGACAAACAAAACTCAAAGCCATAAACAGTTAATTATAGCTCAAATGCAAACAGGTAAAAGGGGGATTTCACTTTTCAAAACTGTTCATTTAGGCCAGCATCATTCTAGTACTGCCTCACAAAACAGCAATTTGTGAAGCCTACAGTTCATAAAAGAAGATACAGAGGATATGGAGGTATTTTCATGAATTGTAGTGTGTCTGTTGCAGAGAGGTAAAGGTAACATGACTCTCAAAGAGCGCATCATTTACTACAAACACAATGCACTTTAACAAGAGGCCTTTGCTTTGGCCCCGTTTTTCGATTTTATGAACTATAGGACACTAGGACAGTTGAATCAACAAACCTATTAAGTGCGCTCACACACCTCCCAAAGGACAACAGAAAAATCCCACACCCAACAATATCCCACATCGCTTTTATGAAGCATTCTCTCATCAGTTGAACAGACTTTTAAAAAGGCTAAAATCATGCAGTTTCTCTAAATCTGTTGGCATTGACTCAAAAAAATAATTACAAAACATTTATATTCACATACGAAAACCACACTGAGCAGTTCTTCTCCTCCCTTTTTTTAAGCCACAGAGATGAATATACATGCTCTTTATTAAAATTCTGTCTAACTTCCCCGCAGTCAGACAAAAGTTAACAAGGGAGCGTTTTTCTTTCGGGAAAAAAAATAAAAATAAATTAAAATAAAAATATACAAGTATCTCTAAAAGATATTGAGGATGAACTCTGAAAAGCTTAAGAAAGAAAATAGACAGACAATACAGGCCAAAATTCTGAAACTGAATCACTGTGCGAAAATCAGCAAAAACATAATATTGTGAATTAAATCACAAAAGACAAGCTAACTGACTACAGGAAAGTTCTTGGATTGC